ACCGTCACCGCCCCTCCGGATCGCTCGCGCGCACCGGTGAGGACTGCTTGCGCCCTCGGGAGGCGACCCTGGCCGACGCCCGTCCCCGGGGCAGAAGTGAGGAGCCTCCGCTACTGCTGGTGAGTGAGGCTGCCTCTCCACCTGTGAGGCTGTCCCTCTGCTAAACTTAGTCCCTTCCAGTTTATGCTGGTGTTGGGCTTAGAAGACTTAAAGGGCGCGAGGATAACCTAGGGCACCGCCTTCTGGAGCTGATATTCAGAGGACCAAATGGGGCATGAAGCAATCCAGGAGGGGATCAGAACACAGAGCCCTGCCCTAGGCGCCTACTTCTTTAGGGTGGGGCTGCAGGCAGCAGGGCCCCCTCCGAGTTATTGACAGCCATTCTGGGCGCACGTTGCGTTTTTCCATTAGAACAAACCGCACTTGGCTACCGCGCCCCTCTAGTTGTGTTTGCACCCGGGCGGCAATGTGGGTGCACCGCGCAGCTCTGCTGTTCCCTTGCTTCACCCAGCAGATCTGGCAGTTGAAAATTTTTTTTTTTTTCCTTTTTGACCGCGGTTTCTTAACAACTGAAGCGTTTACAAGATATTTCACACTCCTCCTCTTCGTCCTCCTCCTATTCCTCTTCTTTCTCTAGTCCTTGTTCTCTTCACTAAGTGTCTTGACACAGACCTGTGAGGACGAATAGATCTGGCCAGTCATTTTTTCTTTATGAATTATTATACTCCACCCCCTCAAGCCTTTGGGAGGGAAGGCATGTGTTTCATCTTATAAATAGAAAGTAGCATATTTTTTTGGCAGGACCTGCTTTATACTGCACCGTCTAGGAGAGGTCAGTTTAAAAATAAATATGCGCTTGAATGTTACATTACCGAGCCGGCTGTGGCATGGACGAGCTGCGCAGACAACAGCATCAAAGCTGGGAGGACATCTGTGTTGAAAGGAGTAAAAGCCCCAGAGTGCAGCCCAGGCTGACAGTCAAGTGATTACATTGGTGTGTGTGTGTGTGTGTGTGTGTGTGTGTGTGTGTGTGTAGTGAATTAAAACGAGGGTGGGAAGAGGAATGTCAGGCGGGGATTGGAACATGAATCTTTGCAGAAGAGGTGTTTTTGGGGGAGTGGGCTGCTGCTGCTCTATATGCAGTGTGTAGGGGGCTCTAGGGAGGGAACTGATGCATGTGTTAGGGAGACAAGATTTCTTCTGCTTTCCCCTCTACCCTGGCAGCTTCCCTGCTTTAAAGTAGCAGACCCAGACTTAGGACTTCCCCTTAACATCACACCAGGAAGCAGCCTGTGTGCCCCAGGGGTATCCCTAAGTTCATTAAAAGACTCCTGCTATGTTCTGACTTATAAAAAAGAGATCTTTCATCTGACAGCTAAACTAGGAAGCGATACCTCTGGACTGTTCCAGAAGTCTCCACAATTGTGGTTTGATGGACAGTTCCAATATAAGTATACACAAACACCCTTTTCAGGATGAAGGACTCAGACATGAGGCAGTTGTGAAATGTCTAGCATTGTCAGGTGTGAAATAAATGATAAGATCTATATTCAAGGAATGGTTGACAGTCCATCTGGAAGTGCCTAGGTTTCCCAATAGGCCCCGCCCATGGCATAAAACAGGGCTACCGGCCCCTGGGCTCACAGATGGGATGTTTAGAGGGGAACTTTGGAAGCCTTCTGGGTCCATGGCAGTTTCTGTTTTCCAGCCGTCTCATCTGCTAGAGATTTGCATTCTGAATTCCATGATTGGAACATGGTGCTGAGGCTGTGGCAGCCCCTGAAGACATGAAGTAAGATGAGCTCTCTCCCACCCGGCTAATCTGAGCTCTGACATTCTGCCTGGCATTTGAAGAGGACCCAGAAAGACAGCTAGAGCAGAGTACTGCACATTTTCTTCTGGCTTTTTACTGTGAACTCAAATGGCACCCAGGATGCATAGAAAGCTGTAACAGTGGCCGGAGCACGGCTCCCTGAGCCGCTTGGCCCTGTCTGCACTCCAGCTTCCCTTTAACGTGGTGTTTTGTTTTACGTCTGACATGTTCACAAAGCTGCCCTTTTCCACTTGTAAAATTCCTGCTATTCAATAGCATCGGGAATAAAGTCGCATTAACCTCTATCACCCTATGGTTTTGACCAAGCCATAAAATTTTCACAAGCTCTTTGCCCATTAGACATAGCATTTACTCAGTGGGTGGAATGCAATCCTGACCTAGAAAGCCCCCAGGAAGACTGTGATTTACTATTATTATTGTTATTGTTATTATTATTATTATTACTCTTGCTTCAGTCTGATTTCATGTAGGCTGAGCCTAGTTTCTTTCAAACTAGAGTCCCAAAGACCTGTTTCTGTTTTCATTGATCAAGGACATAAAATTGTATTTTTAAATACACTGTCTTTCCCAGAGAAAAAGTTGAGTAGTTCGAGACTAGCAGCAGATTCATTTAGTAACAAAATCTCTTCAGAACGCATGTCAGAGAATTCTAATGGACTACATGTTGGAACATCAAAAATAATTCTACCATAAAGCCTGTCCTAAATGCTAAGCTGAGTACTCCCCCCCACCATTGCCTGCATTAACTCCTTTATTTCTAAGTAATCATTCCATGACAGAATGTGTGTCAGTATCCACATTATGTAGTGTAGTGTCTGAAGACAGGATAGTTATGTAGTTTGCCCAAAATTAGGCAGTAAAGAACATACTTAAATGTGGGTGTGCCTGAGTTGCAAATTCTACGTGGAAGCCGGAGCCTTTTTCAGTTTAGGGACAGGGAAAACCTGAAGTTAGTAACTCAGTGTCAGATGGCCTGGACACGTTGCCTGGATCTTGCATGTTACTGCTCGAGTGATGGACTTATGACATCCATAGCTAATCTTTTAGATAGATGGTAGATAGAGTGCCTCTTTTCCAGATGAGAACTTAGGTTCTGGAGAGTGCTATGATTTGATCAACATTACATAGATAAGTAAGTAGCAGAGCATGGTTTGAACTCAGGTATGTTTGACCTGGTACTGAATAACACACCTTCACTGTCTGGGAGGGAGGGGAGGAGAGCTATCAAATATGATTACTGAATGGCTTTGGCCTCTGGAAAGGAATTTTATATTCTATTTTACCATATCACCACCCAAAGGAAGTAATTTCCAGCCTTAGGGAATACAACTTGAATTACTTAATTATTAAGAGTGGCTCAGTCTTGTGTGTGGTGACCTTGTTCTACAGCCAAGCTAGCATGAAACTGTTAGAGTTGGTCTAAGCAGCTTATATCCTAAATAAAGAGATTCACTAGGTGAAAATGTGGAACTCCGACACCAGAAAGCCATGCCCCAACTGGGAATAAGGCATTGCAGTATCCTGGAATGAATACAGCCTCCATGTAGGTAGGCCATGTCCTTGGATCAGTCAGAAGCAGTAGGGCTAAGTAACCATGCCTGGTAAGTCATTATATCCAGGAGGCCTGACTTGCAGCCCCTGGCACTCAGTGGATATTCAGTGCCTGTTAGGTGGTGATACTGCCCTGGGAGTTCCAGACAAGTCAGGAACCATGAGAGGTTGGGCAGGAAGGCCCTGCACTCTGTCCTTGGCAGAGGGGGTCTGAGACAGTGGTCACATGCCGTGGATGCTGCTAGATAAATGTCTGGTGTGAGAGATAGAGGGAGAGGCCTGAGCGGCTGAGTGCACTTGCCCAGGACCAGCCTGGTTCCTGTTTCTCGTCAGCTGGGAAGTCTGCTGCTTAGTCCCCAGGACAAGGTCTGCAAATTGCCTCGGAGTTGGGGCTGTCGAGCTCGATCTGGAATTTTCTCTCTTCCTGCTCCCTTCCTTTAAAGACAGCAAAACAACAACATCCTACAAACTATGATAAGTAACTAGTCAAATCTACAGCAATCCGCAATTCATCAGGGAAGGTTTATTGTTGTTGTTTTTCTTAAAACAAACAAACAAAAAAAGGTGTTCCCTTTGGCTTTGATAAACTTCAATGACAACTTCTACCAGAGTGGAGTGGTAACAGACAGTGTGTGACAGGGTCTCTGGTGGAAAAGCAGCTTTTAAAACGAACTGTATAGCTTTATAGTAGGAAACACAGGCATGAAAACAATGGCTTTTTTTTTTTTTTCTTTTTTTTCTTTTTTTTTTTTTTTGGTTTTTCGAGACAGGGTTTCTCTGTGCAGCTTTGGAGCCTATCCTGGCACTCGCTATGGATACCAGGCTGGCCTTGAACTCAGAGAGATCCATCTGCCTCTGCCTCCCAGTGCTGGGATTAAAGGCGTGCACCACCAATGCCCGGCAACAATGGCTATTTTGTTGTAGTTTTGTTTTGTTTCTTCTCTTGGCTGACCTTGAATGTTTGGTCCTTCTGCCTCAGGCTCCTGAATTCTGGAATTATATGCAAGTACCCCAGTACCCAGCAGCTCCCAACCCCAGTCACCCTCCAAAAGACAACTTCTAAGTAGCCAAACTATGTATGGAAGCTGATGAGCCCCACTATGAATTTGTGTGGTCCTTGTTGCTTGCCTAAATGATTAGTTCACAATAGAACTCTAAAGCAGGAAGTTTAAGAAGCAAACCTCTTAAAACTTAACTTCTTAAACGTATTGTTTTGTGATTCAGAAGCTGTTTGCATGCTCAGAAAGTTAGGATTGACCTTCTAGCCTTAAATAGTGTTGCAGTGGTCACATTCCTGCAATGCCCCAATTGGATGACTCCTAAAGCATTCCCAAACACTCAGCTCAGGAAAGGGTTCTGTGGAAAGCCAGTTTGATGACTTTCCCTTCCTGTAGGATGTTGCAGTTCCTGCTACACAGGTGCACAGTGACTCTCCCTGTGAAGAGAGCATCTATTCTGTCTGAGATTGTTTTGCCCCCACACCGGCTGCAGGACTACTACTGGTAGAAAAGTCACTCTGGGGAGCACCACATCACAGTTGTATAAAACTCGTGCTCTGCAGCCTGCCAAGCTGCAGGCAATACAGGGATAGAGCTGAAAGAACATGCCCGAAGGATGCTGGCAAATCAATGGTGGTTCCGTTTGATAAAACTGTCCCAGATTACCCAGGGACAATCAAAATGTGGAAAGGACTAATCTGAAAACAGGTTGGTGTCTTGACATGGACCTGAATGG